CTGAGAATATTTTACACACACACACACACATACACACACACACACACACACACACACACCTGATTTGCAGCTCAAAACCGTTCCATGTAATTCCTGATCCGAACCTTTCACGTTCTTCATAGTTACCTTGGTCAGAAATTATGTTTACAGAAGCAGAGGTACCAAATAGCAGATTATCACTTTTTCTCCCATGAATGGAAACTGTTTTCTTGCCCTTTATCTTTGATCTTTTATTTTTTTAATGTTTATTTATTTATTTTGAGACAGAGAGAGAGAAAGAGAAAGCATGAGTTGGGGAGGGGCAGAGAGGGAGAGAGGGAGAGAGAGAATCCTAACCAGGCTCCTCCCTGTCAATGTGAAGACCGATGCAGGGTTCGATCTCATGAGCCATGAGATCATGACCTGAGCAGAAACCGAGAGTCGGCTACTTGACTGGCTGACTGAGACACCCAGGTGCCCCTGATCTTTGGTCTTTTAAAATCTTACTTTGGGGGTGCCTGGACGGCTCAGTTGGTTGGGCATCTGGTTCTTGATTTTGGCTCAGGTTATGATCTTGTGGGCCTGTGGATTTGAGCTCCACGTTGGGCTCTGTGCTGATGGTGCAGAGCCTGCTTGGGATTCTCTCTCTCTCTCTCTCTCTCTCTCTCTCACTCTCTGTCTCTTTCTCTCTGTCTCTCTCTCCCTCTGTCCCTCCTTTGCTTGCACTGTCTCTGTCTCTCTCAAAATAAATAAACCTTCGCAGGTCTTAGAAAGCTATTATTGAAAAAAAACCTTAAAAATCTTCCTTCGTAGGTTTATCATTTTTAAAGAATGGAAGTCCCTTCTCTTTGACAAATGCAACATTGAAATGTTTTGTGATAATGAGTGGATTTTGAAGCCTTTAAAATGTTCTCATACTAAATATTTCAAAGTTTTCATGAAGTTTTTCTTCCAGCATAAAGATCTTGCCCCACTGGTCTTACTAATAATTTCGAGTTCGAATTCTAACAGTTACTAAACATCAGTCATGGTATTTTTCTTTGAACGCATCAATATTGACACTACAAGTTCATTTATTTCATGGGGTCCTCCCAATCTTGGGTCAAGTTCTTTAAGAAGCTCAACAACATTAGTTAACACATTTTGAAGCCACCATACCAACCCTCATATGTGCAAAGTAAGAATCATTTACACCCACACTTACACTCACAATTTCAATGGCTCTTTCAGCTCAGAGACTCCAGACATTTTTCCTTGGTCATCCTCTTGGGTATGAACTGGTAGTATATGTTTCTGATCTCAATTTTTTGCATAAAGCTCTAAACAAGTGCGACTGTAGTGGCTTGAATTCACCGTTTTGAAAATATCATTTAATGTGGAATAGAGAACCATGGAAAATCTTCATGCCAACATTTCTCTGCATTTGTAATTGAAACACGAAGGCTTTCCTTGATGGGATTTGGGGGGACCAACATTAGCTTAACAATGAAATTGTCAATAGACATCTAAGCGTTGTACCTGATATATATTATTTGCTTCGGTACATTGACTCAGCACTATAAGTAGCTTATCTCAGGTGCTTTGGTCTTTTTCCCTTTGAAGAGATAAGCTTTGTGGAAGGGAGCTGGTCTGATGTGCTAGGCATTGTTGCTTCATTTGATAATTTTTCCATGACAAAAAAAAAAAAAAAAAAAAAGGCTGAGGATTAAAAGAATGAATGAAGAGCATTAATGTGAATTTGAGATAAATCCTCATTATTCTGCGTGAAAGTGATTTAAGCCTCCTGATTCCTTGGCTTTCTTGGATGGCCACGTCTGCGGTGTTTTGCCCCAGATTTACCGAGATATAATTGACATACAGCATTGTATTAAGTATAAGGTATACCACGTGATGTTTTGATAGATATACATATTGCAAAATGAATATCACCACAAGGTTAGTGAACATATCCTTCACTTCACATAATTACTATTTTATTGTGGTGGTGGTGGTGCTGAGATTGAAACTTTGTCCTCGTAGCAACTTTCAAGTACAGTTATTGTTAACTACAGTCGCCATGCTTTACCTTAGATCTCTGCCCCTTATGCATCTTCTAACTGAATGTCTGTACCCTTTGACCAACATCTCTCCATTTTTCCCGACCCCTCAACCCTGGAAACCGCCATTCCACTCTGTTTCTGTGAGTTCAATGTTTTTAGATTTCAAATATAAGTGGGATCATACAGTATTTGTCTTTCTCTGTCTTATTTCACTTGGCATAATGCCCTCGAGGTCCATCCACGTTGTCGCAAATGGCAGGATTTCCTTCTTCTTTATAGCTGAATGGTATTCCATTGTATACACTTACTTTCTTTATCCTTTCGTCTGTCCGTGGACATTTAGTTTGTTTCCATGTCTTGGTTATTGTGAATAGTGCTTTGCAACACTGTTTTGAAAGTCATCTCTGACAGTTCAGTCCAGAACCTGTCACTCCAGCCCTTGCAACAATCCTATAAATCTCTAAATCCCTGCCAACTAGACTGGATTTTGCTGTCCGCAGTAGAACTTCAAATGATACAATGACTGGTATCAGAAGTGGCTGCTGACCTCAGAAATTCAAAGACATAAATCTGGAACTGGTTGTTTAATCTGAGTGGATCTGAAAACAGTGAAGAGATCTTGAGTTTACCTTGAGAGGATGTCTTATGGGACTCACATGTGGTCTCTTAGAGAGAAGTAACTTTTGGAGACAATTTTGACAGACCAAGCCGCTACTGACATGGCACAGTTATGGCCATGGACAAAAGCACCACCAGGGATGTGAGATGGGTGAAATCCTTCTAATTATATTTAGTAGTTCTGAGACAGGAAATGACAGCCTTAGAGTTTTCAGTTTTAAGCCATGGCCAGAGAACCAGATAGTTCCAACGACTGCCATACGATGATATCTTATCTCTTGTAACCACAGTCTGGATCTGTAGATTTCTGATTTATCATGTGTGCTGAACTCATAGCTTCACCAGGTTTCTGAAAAGATCTAGAAGCAGCGACCAACCCAGTAGCAATGAGAAGCCCTCGTGTTTAACTTATGGTCTCTAAATTTAATTTTCCACTATGACGAACCCGGGCAGAAAATTTTTCCAAGTTATGTATGATAAGTGACTTGTCCCCAGAAATATAGAGGACTATTATGAGTCCATAGTAATAAGACAAACAACCCGTTATGAGTAGGACAAATGTTTGAACAAATACTTCACAAAATAAGGTATAGAAATGGTTAACAAAAACCTAGAATGAGCTCATCATTAGTCATGAAGGAAATACAAATGAAAACCAGAAGGATACACCACTACACATCCAACAGAATGGCTGAAATTTATAAATTTTTTAACGTCTATTTATTTTTGAGAGAGAGAGAGACAGAGACAGAGAGACAGAGAGAGAGGGCGAGCATGAGGGGAGCAGGGGCAGAGAGAGAGGGAGACACAGAATCCGAAGCAGGCTCCAGGCTCTGAGCTGTCAGCACAGACTCCAACATGGGACTTGAACCCACAAACCGTGAGATCACGACCTGAGCCGAAGTTGGATACTCAACTGACTGAGCCACCCGGGCTCCCGGAATGGCTAAAATGGAAAGGCCTGCCAATACCAAGTGCTGTAGAACATAGGAAGCAATTGGATGGCTCACTCATTGGTGGTGAGTATGCAAATACAGTATAGAGCCTTTGGAAAAACAGTTTGGCAAGTTCTCATAACATCAAGCGTACACATGGCATGAGACCCAGAAATCCCATTCTTGGGTATTTTCCCAAGGAAGGAGAAACATATGTTCACACAAAAACCTGTGTATAAATGTTTAGAGCAGATTTATTGATAACAGTCCAAAACTGGAAAGAACCCAAGTGTCCATCAACCAGTGATTGGATGTTGTATATCCGCGTAGTGCAGTCGTCCTCGGCGACGGAAAGGAACAAGCTCCTGATATATGCAACACCACGAACACATCTTAAAAGCTAAATTAAGGAAGCCAGACACAAGAGGTAGCATGTTGCATGGTGCAACCGATAAGATATTTTAAAAATACAAAATTATAGGGAGAGAAAAACAGACCAGTTTTTCCCGGAGAAGAGGGCTGGAGGGAGAGGTCTGACTTCAAAGGGGCATGAAGGAAATTTGGGAGGGTGGAAATGCTGTACATCTTCATTGTGATAAGTTACACAGCTGTAAACATTTGCCCAAACTCATCCAGCCATATATGTTCAAGTAAAAAGGACCAAGGCTGGGGGACGGACAGAGGCAGGCAAGGGACGGAGTTTGGAAAGTATGAGAGGAATTCAGGAGAGGGAGAGTTTTGTTTTGTTTTGTTTTTTTACTAAAGTCAATCAAAAGGTCTTGTATGAAGACGGCATTTGAGCTGGGCTTCGTTAAGTAGAAATAAAAGAGTATTCCAGGGGTTACACGAGTTGCGGATGACCTGGCAAACAGTAGGTGCTTAATAAATATTTGTGGAATAGACGCAATGATGAAGGGACAGTGAGCGAAATCCAGAAAAAAGTATGGAAAAATTGGGGGTGACAGTCGGCTTGGCTGGGGCTTGTGTTGGGGGAGAGAGGTGGGCTGCACAAATAGGGAATGGGCAGACGGTTTTGCATACCAGGCTAATGAGTTCAGACTTTATTTTTAGGAAGCCGACTGAAGTTTGAATAGGGGAGTGACACGTCTAGAATGAGAAGTTCCGGAAGGCTGATCTGCCTCTGGTATGGTCTCTCGTATCGATGCAGGAATAGGAGGCAGAGAGGAGCCGAAGCCATCAGACGCCAAAAATGGTGGCCCGGATTGGGATGACCGTAAGGATTAAAGAGGAGGAATAGATTAGGAGACAAAATGAAGAGGGCCCGTTGACCTCACTGCCGATTGGAGTGGAGGAGGGTGGAGGACGAAGAAGGGAAACTGAGGTCTTAGGCCGTTGGGAAGGGTGGCATCAAGAGGAAAGAAAGGTGGAAGAGGAGGAGATTGGCCCAACACAAGTGCCGTGAGGGCAGACTGGACGCCCTAGGGCCTGGAAAGTGGGCCACGCAGGGGTGCGGCTTAGGGGAGCCTGGACAGGGGGCGGTGATGCGGCAGCCATCGGCGCAGATTCCGGCTGGGGCCTGTCTTTGGGGGAAAGCGCTAACATCCCAGAGTACGCGAATCCAGAGCCGGTCCGCGGGCCAGAGGCTGAGGCCGGACTGCCTGCTGATTTCCAGTGTTCACCCGGACTGGCCGCGAAGAGCAGGGTTCCCGTGTCCACCCCGCGCAAAGCTCTGGACTCGGGAGCTCAAGATGCCTTCCCTGCAGACCGCTTACCCAAGGCGGGACGGGGGGCGCGCGCGCAGCCCAGCGCGAGCTTTCAGGGCCGAGGCGCGCGCAGGCGCGGCCGGTGTCGCCTAGCAACCAAGAGCAACAGTGGCCTCGGAGGCGCGCGCGGACGGCGGCGGGTGCGGTTCTCCGGGCGCGAGGGGCCGCCGCTCGGCGGGATCCGCCGGCAGGTAAAGGCGGGCGTGCGGCTGCGCGGCTACTCCCGCGGTTTGGAGGGGCCCGGGGCCGAGGTCCCCGCAGAATTGGGGCAAGGGGGAGGTGCCCAGCGCGTGGGGGCCTCTGGGACAACCGACGGAACGAATGCCTCGTTGGGGGTTGTCGGTCCCTGCCCTGTGCGTCCAGTATCAGCCGGGGATCCGGGTGGGTTTCCTAAGCATCCTGGCCTCCTTCCGTTTAACAGGTGACAAAACAGGCCCCGAGAGGGGATCTGAGAGTCTAAGATTCCGTTCCGTGCCTCCCAGCAACTCAGGAAACGAGTCCCCACTGGCTGTAGTCTTCCCCCTTCCTTCACAGTTTTTAAAATAAGGCTCCTCCTCAGAAAACATTCAAGATCGCACAGGCTGAAAGCTCACAAAGAAGTGCAAACGGTCGACAAATTTGTGGGGGGAAAGCGTGGCTCCTTTCTAATGACGGAGGAGGTGCCCATTTAAAGCAGATTTGTTTTTGTGCTCAGTGCGGTGAAGTTCATGCCTTTTCATCCAGTTATTTGCCTTTCTCTTAAAGAAGCAGTTGAGGACGTGGATGAACATTTTATGTCTAAGGAGGTTCATTGCAGCCGTATCCATAATTTCAGGAAATGAGAAACAAATGTTCAACAATAGGGGGACTGTCTAGATACATAGTGGATTTGACAATAGTATTTTAAATGACATGATATGCTGATTCACTGGAGATGATTGGAGCAATGAATGGACACAGAGATTTGACGAACCTGTCCATTAGTGTAAAAAAGCAGCAGGAAAGGAGGGCACTTGTGGGGATGAGCCCTGGGTGTTGTCTCTAAGTGATGAAGCACGGGAATCTACCCCCAAAACCAAGAGCACACTGTACAGCCGGTATGTTAGCCAGTTTGACAATAAATTATATCAGAAAAAAAAAAAAAAAAAAAAA